GTCCTTGTGTCCTAAGAGGGCCAAGTTTAAACTCCATATCCTTTCTTGCACTACTTAACATGAATGGGAAGGTAAAAAGGCATTGAACCTTCTGGGAAGGTTAGCCATTTCTTCTCTTCATTTCCTATGTCCATGCGGCAAGTATATAGGTCCCGGCCCACAGGAGTGGATTGTTCATTCCGGTCCATGTGGTTGTTGGGTAGTAGACTTAAGGGCTCACTAGATAACTCAGGCTGTTCTCTACTTTTATGCAGACATGCTTTCACATGTTTGTCCCAAGGTGTGAGATAACCCAGCCAACCAACATTGGCCTTAAAACTAATATATGAACGTTACGCTTGCTAAAGGGCATTAAATATTAGGAAGTGGTACAGCATGAGGTAAGAGAGATAGCCTTAAGACTAGTCTTAAGGTTAAAGATTAGAGTCTGAGCTTATTGCAACTGTGATTGACCTCAGACTAGCCCCTTAATCTATATGACTTTCCTATAAGAACAATAATAATAGCTAGTCATAATAATTCTCCCACATATCCTTTATCAGGACAAATGTCACAAGTCTATAGAGTCTTCTAAACTAAATCTCAAATCTTGACTCTTTTTCCCATCCATCTCATTCAAAAGACAAGTTACCAGAGCCTATAAATTCTACGGAAAGGTCCAGTAATGACTAAAGAATTAAGCAATTAAAAATTAATAACATTTGAATCCCAGTAAATGGAAAATATAACAAAATAAAATTTTCTTACCACATTCTGACAGTGGATTGAAAACATTCACGCCAAATTGATTTGAATAAAGAAAAAGCAACAGGGATGTAGTAGAGAGAACTTGAAAGGGTAAATTAGTCCCATTCCTCTGGAGAGTCATAAGCATGTATGAAATCATCATGAGATACCTCACACCAGAATAAATAACAATTTGACTGAAAAGCCAAGGATGAAAAAAATTGCCAAAAGTAAAGAGAAGAAAAAATTTTTTTAATTTTTTTAATGTTTATTTATTCTTGAGAGAGTGAGAGAGAAACAGAGAGATAGAGAGACAGAGCATGAGCAGGGGAGGGGCAGAGCAAGAGAGGGACACAGAATCTGAAGCAGGCTCCAGGCTCTGAACTGTCAGCACAGAGCCTGATGCGGGGCTCGAACTCACCAGCTGTGAGATCGTGACCTGAACTGAAGTCAGATGCCCAACTGACTGAGCTACCCGGGGGCCCCAAGTAAAGAAAATTTTCATAGACTATCTATAATAGAAAGGGTGAAATTTGGGGTAAAGAAACAAAATGGGAAATATGGAAATATTTGACTGATAAAATGTATAAATAATGTTGAGCAATAAATAAATAAACATGTTAGTGCTGCCATTAAAGAAGCAAATGGGGAAAATTAGAAACACATATACCAAGGGTAACAATATTGTTCATATAAAAAGAAATAAACATTGACAAGAAAACACAACATTGAGTTAATTTCTTTTTTTTTTTTAATTTTTTTTAACGTTTCTTTTTGAGACAGAGAGAGACAGAGCATGAACGGGGGAGGGTCAGAGAGAGGGAGACACAGAATCTGAAACTAGCTCCAGGCTCTGAGCTGTCAGCACAGGGCCCGACGCGGGGCTCAAACTCATGGAGCCGAAGTCGGCTGCTTAACCGACTGAGCCACCCAGGCGCCCCGAGTAATTTCAACCTGGAATCCCTCAGAAAAATAAGGATCTGTCCTTGCATTTGGCATATTGGCTCAAACACTTGGTTTTTACAGAGATTTTCTTAAACTATTGTTTTTTTAGGACCAGCTAATATTATGTAACAGTGGTCACTATATCTCAAATGAGCAATAATTTTAAACTCATTTTAATAGAAAAATACTGAGAGAGTGTGTAAATTTCCACTTTTCTGAGGATTTGAAGTAAAGAATGCACAGATGGGCCTGCATGTACTTTACACTCTAGGTTCCACTCCCAAGAAGAAAACAAGAATGGTAGAGATAGATTGTTAAGTTATCCTGAGGCCCAGAACGTATGAATTTTTTTCTCTTACAGAAAGTTTGGAAATAAAGGAGATTCACAGTATTCACTATGGTTGCCAAAAAATAAAAAGTCCCATGGTATTTCATTGTGTGTAGAGATAATAGAGTGAGCTGTGCTGAGGAGAACCCTAGGGACTGTCCCATGTGCATCACTTCTCAGGGCCTCATATTTCAAGAATCCTTTCATAATAAGATTCATTTCAGGGTCGGTGCTCGAAAGTAAGTGTTTAACTCATCTGAGAATACAGCCAGAGGTTGGAATGGAAGCCACTGAAAAGTCCACTTCATCATATCCAGCTGTTAAGAGAGAGGGCTGAGAAATCACTAGGATCCAATACCCAAATCTGGATCTGTAACTTGGATTTCTGGATTTCGTTCTTTTGTATTCCTATGTGAGGTACCCTCCCATGTAGCTCCCCTTCTCCAGAAGAAACTCATCCCATGTCTCCAGGTAAGAAGAAAGAAAATACTGCAGGAATAAAGTCTCCCCAGAACCAGAAATCTTGTGTCTATCCCGGGAAAAGGGTCATATTCTTATTTTTAGAACCCACAGTCTATTTGTGAGAGCAGATTTTTCTTTTTCTCTCTTCTCTAGAATCCTTAGTCTTACAAATTTTGCTACTGGACTTTTTTAAGGGATTAGCTTGTGTGCTGAGAGGTGCAAAGAACCAAAAGATCCGCTGTCTCTCAAACTAGCTTATCCCTTTTCGATTCCCAGAATCTTCCTGTGTTCTGACCTTTTATCCTTGTTATTATACATGTTCTTTTCTTCTTTCAGTTTTCTGACACTCTTTGGGTGATACTGGATTCACAGGGCACTGCCGAGGATGCACAACAGAGCTCCTCGCAATGTGCTGTCCATTGTTTAGGAGGTGAGAAGGAGCCAGAGCTAAGTGAGTGCTAATGTTGGGTGTGTGGGCACTCCCTGCCCCAGTACCCTAGTACTCAGGCTGCTACCACATTGCATATATCTTCTCAGAGGCTAAGAATGAGAAAGAGAATAGGATTGCATATTGAGGATCTATTCCCCTGGAAGAACTACCACTTATGTACTCTCACCAGCAGTCCAGGTGATCATCCTTTGTGTTTATCCTTCTGATTGGTCACAGAATATCCCCATTCCAAGCTGGACCACATAGCTGGATCAATGTCAGCTGTGCCTTCTGAATCTCATACTATGCTTTACATAGGATGATTAGCACTTAGGAGTTATTGAGTGGATGTGTGTGTGTGTGTGTGTGTGACAGAGACTATGTGTTGAGGAAGAGTTTGTTCAGTCCTGGATGCATTCAGTTATTTATTCACCCATTCAGTCTGTGAATAGTTCTTGAAAATTTACTATATGCCAGGTGATGCAGACATATGGATTGAGATAGGATTTCTACCCTGAACAAACTTATAGCCCAGTCAGAAGACAGAATTGTAAACAAACAATCATATATAAATTAACAGTAACCTTTTCAAAGCACATTATTGTATACATATATCAAAACTCACCAGATTGTACACATGAAATATTCATAGTTCATTGAATGTAAATTTACCATGGTGAAGCAGTGAAAAACTGCACTTATCAATAATTGTTGGAAAATGAGTTTGGCTACTAGGTTAGAGACTTTATCAGTGATCTTCCTGTGTATTTCAACTTATCTAAAGAAAAGATATTTCTCATTTAATTTTGCCAATTCCTCAAATCATTCCCTGACTCTGCCTTCCTGGTCCCTTAAAGACCAATGGACTCTACTGTAGGCTCAGACTGGACCCATTTCATTTCCATCTGAATGGAAATTCATGAATAGAAACCTCACTGTCAACTCATGTTCCTGAAATTAAGTCCTACTTGGCAGCTCATGAGCCAGTGGTCAAGGCACAATTGCTCTGGCCATAGTTTTCCTATACTGCCAGCTAGAGGTAGGGTCTTACGTGTGAAGACAAACCTTTCTAGTCTGGAGGCTCTGATATCTGTCTATCTCAAGATGGCCCTGCTAGGTGGGCTGACTTTCTGTTCTGACATCTTCATTCTAAAGGCCAATTCTAAGACTATTGCTTCCACCCTTCTCAGGGATAGATGTCTCCAACCCTGAGTGCCAGCCATTTACCCATGCCCCCAGCTATCTTCCCTGACTCTTTATAATTTCCATCTCTATTAGCTTATATCCAGCCATGTTATTCCTTGCTTGTTTCTGATGTACAGTAATGTATAGATTGAATAGTATTTCCTGCCTGGCTGCAAAGCATTGGACCAGTGCCTGATTTCCTACTGATGTACCTAACCCATTGATTGGATACTCTGAAACAAACTGCAGCATGAATGAGCTCAAATACTGTCACACTAGAAAAAATACTGAAACTGTGCAGACAGCTATTGTGGTGGCACTTGGTCTCCACAAAGGGCTGTTCCTGCTTCCATAGGGTGTGGTGCTACTTAAGTCTGGCCTTGTCTCCAACATCTTGGCTCTGTAACAATGAGGGCCTATCATGCCTTAATCTTCAACACTGCCATCAAGGCTTGATTCTCTGATCCAGTGAAGAATTTAGAAAAGGACTAAATGTGTGGATTATAACATGATCTAAATGGTTTCTTAAAATTCCCTTCCTTCTAGGAAGGATGATAAATGATCCCTTAGAAACACAAAGGAAAAGATAATTATTGGTTCCTCTCCTTGATGAAATGAAAGTCAAAATCTGCTGATTGAAAAGTAAACTAGATAAAAGAAAAACCTGGGCTTTCTACTAAAGGCAGAAATCCTCATATTTTTTCAAATCCATATAATATGTGAGCATCTTTTTTCAAATAGCTTCCGTAAGAATTAAGGATGGAAATTTTGGAAAATCAAGTGTCTTAAATGCTCCCAAGATATTTTTTCAATAAAACATATTTGTTCTTACAATGAGATCTTCACTTTCAGGATTTGGTTTTCCACCACAGTCAACTTTTGATTCCTTTATTTATGCTGATGTGTAGACAGAAATAAACACCAATGGGCACAGAAAACCAAACCTATCTGACTGAATTCATCTTGCTAGGCCTTTCTTCAGATTGGCAGACCCAAATCCTGCTGTTTGTAGTGTTTCTCATCATCTACCTGCTAACTCTGTGTGGGAATTTTCTCATCATAGTGCTAATTCATATTGACTCTCGACTTCATACACCAATGTACTTCTTCCTTAAAAACCTGTCGTTTACTGATCTCTGTTTCTCTACAACAGTCATCCCCCAGATGCTATTCCACTTGCTGGTAATGAGAAAAACCATTTCCTTTGCTGGGTGTTCAATTCAGATGATTTTTTTCCTAATAGCTGGGTGTACAGAAAGTTCCCTCCTAGCAGTGATGTCCTATGACCGCTATGTGGCTGTCTGTAAGCCCCTTCACTACTCCACCCTCATGACCCAGAGGGTGTGTGTACAGCTGATCATAGGGTCCTGGGCCAGTGGAGCCATTGTGTCTTTAGTAGACACAATATTTACTTTATGTCTCTCATACCATGGACAGAATATAATTAATCATTATTTTTGTGAACCTCCTGCACTCTTGAAGTTGGCTTCAGAAGAAACCTACAAAGCTGAGATGGCCATCTTGGCAATGGGCATAGTAATTCTCCTTGGTCCTGTCTCCCTCATCCTTTTCTCCTACTGGAATATTATCTCCACTGTGATTCGGATACAGTCAGGTGAGGGGAGACTTAAGGCCTTTTCTACCTGTGGTTCTCATCTCATTGTTGTGGTCTTCTTCTACGGCTCAACTATATTTACCTACATGCGTCCAAATTCCAAGAAGGTAAATGAAGGGGATAAGGTGATTTCTGTGTTCTACTCAGTCATAACATCCATGATGAACCCATTCATTTACAGCCTGAGAAACAAGGAGGTAAAGGAGGCATTTAGGAAAGCATTTGGAAGATAGAGCCTCTCAGAGGCAATGATCTTTATATTGATACACATCTATGAGAATGAAGACATTCCAAAGTGGTTCAACATTTTTAACGGCTTTCTCTTGAACTGTTTCTAAGCTGATCCAGAACTAAGGGTCATACATGTATCCTTGTATATCTAGGATGTTTTCAAGTTTGTCAACTGCATCTTGCTCAAGCTTATTCTCTGTGGTTATAGCTTGCTTGCCTCATTACAGCTTTTTGCTATTATATTATATATTATAATATAAATTACATTTATATATTATATACATTTATATATACATTTATATACATTTATATATACATTATATATATAATTTATACAATTTATACATACATTTATATACATTTATATACATATATGTGTGTATACACACACACACATATGAGGATCTTCATTTACACTGCATTACTGGTTCACTAATACATTTTCACCTAGACATAGTACCTTTTCGTTCTAAACTCCATGGCTGCTTGTCAGCTTCATCCCATGCTAACATCATCTACAGCCATCCACAAACCTTGGAATACTACCTCATGTCATTATGCTAGACTCTACAATTTCCTGTCAGAAAATATGAATGATTTTTTTTAACCTTAAAGTTCTGATATGGAAATTTTGTTTTTGTTTTGCTGTATGGTCCCAAAATACTGCTATCATCAATTCAACTACACATGGGGGAGCTACTGGCCTAGACAATAATTTGTGGGATCTCATATTCAGCAAACACCTTCCATATATCACACACTCTTTCCCTCCAAGGACAACTGCTGTGTTGAGGGAATTAGAATTAAAAGGCAACCTTCCTGCATCAATATACCACACCAATATATCACAATATACCCCATATGACACCAATATACCACAGCTGTTGCCTCTTCAAACATGCTCTCCCCATTTCTGCAGGCTTGATGGTGCCAGTACCCATTAAGTTCTCATTTTGGGGAAGTAGTAAAGAAAGGCTGATATATGAGAAGCAATTCCAGAAGATATACATTGTTCTGTGGGATTAAATGGTACTTAAGCTTTTTTTTTTTTTTAAACAACTGCTGTAACCTCTTTATAGCAGAAGCACCACTGGTGATACTTGTAGTCACTCACTGATGTTCAGCATGCACACTGCCCCTCCTTTGGAAGAACATCTACCCTCAGCTGAAGGTTTAACTTCAGGTATGAAGTGGAATTGACCCAACACGCCATTGGCGTGTAGAAACACTACCAATTCTCATCCCTGATTGCAGGGCCTGTGAGTCATGACAACATAGCTGGAGACTACATTCTGCCTGGTCATAGTTCTGCCTATTTCTCCTCCATGATTGTCTATTTCTCCAGGCAGAAGTCCCATGACACAAACATATTCCATTACTTTGTACTTCATTTGCCAGACTTACAGATATCCCCTGACTTGTCCCACCTTATCCTCCATGCAGCTGTTTCTACGGATTCTTGTCATACAGAGAAGAGTGCTGCTAACCATAGACAAATTCTCCTTTCACACAGTGGGAAGAATATGGGAAATTTTATCTTTTACCAGGAGAAATTTCAACTTGGAGTTCTGCTCTCGGTTCATGACTATGAACAAAGCAATTATGGGTGAAGTGTGGCATGAGCCAGAGAAAATAAGTCCCTGATGAAAATCAAGCTTGCCACATTGAACTCTGGCTGCTCCAGCTTCAATGTCCAAGGCCTATCCTGAGAATCCAATGCTATTCATTCTGTGCCATGATGTCCTTGCTGAATTGAATGACCTGTGTGCAGAATGATTCTGCATGGGAGAACAGATGTGTGCAATAATAGACTCACTATGCATGTGTGAGGTACATTTTCAAATTATGTGTAACTAGCATGATCTTATACAAGGAAACCAAAACTGGTCTTGCACTATAGATGCTTTGAGTAGCTATGTTATAAATAATAGCATTTTCCTTTTCTAAAATTAAAATATAGATAACATACAATATTATATTAATTCCAGGTGCACAGCATAGTGATTTAATATTTATATATATTACATAATTCTCACCACAGTAAATGGAGATATCATCTGTCACCTGACAAAGTTATTACAATATTGTTGACTATGTTCCCTATGCTGTACTTTACATCTCATGATTTATTTATTTTATAATCGAATGTATCTCTTAATCCCTTTGATATATTTCACCCATCCCCTTGCCTCCCTCCCATCTGGCAATCACCAGTTTTTTCTCTGTATTTATGAGTCTGTTTATGTCTTATTTTGTTTACTTGTTTTGTTTCTTTTTGTTTGTTTCTTAAATTCCACATATATGTGAAATCATATGGTATTTGTCTGTCTCTAACTTATTTTACTTAGCATAATATCCTCTAACTCTATGATACACATATCACCTCTTCTTTATCCATTCATCTATTGAAGGACACTTATGTTGCTTCCATACCTTGGCTACTGTAAATAATACTGCAATGATCATAGGGGTGCATGTATCTTTTCAAATTAATGTTTTCATTTTCTTCAGTTAACTGTGGGACCCAAGGAATTTAACAAAAACCCCCTACACCTGGACAAACAGAGCAAGACTAACTCCATTTTGTGCTACACCCACCATCTCATGTATAACGCCCACACGACCTACTTATTGCTTAAGACACTCCCCTACCCTAGTCAAGCTGCTGAGCACACCCTTACTGGAAACCGGCTCATATAGGAATGCAGAACCCCTAACCCCCAGAGAATGTAAACCCCGCCTTTTGCCCGCCAAACTTGCGCACCAATTCTTAAATCCTGCCTTTTGCCCACCAAACTTGCGCGCCAATTCTGACCAGAGTGATAGGCTAGTTCAAACAGTTACTATAGGGTAAATTGTAATTCAATTGGCCACCTGCGTGTGGACTGACATGACTATGCAACTTTCTGTGTGTGTTACAATCTCATTAGCCACTGGCCCCTATAAAACTGCTATGCCTCTTAACCTAGGGGTTCAAGTCCCTGCTCCGGTGTGTCGGGTATACTTAGGCCCAAGCTCCAGCTTGCAAATAAACCCTCGTGCGTTTGCACCGGTATCAGCTCCTTGGTGGCCTGTCGGATTCAAAATCGGGGGCATTACATTAACTACCCAGAACTGAAATTGAATAGCATCCACTTCTACATATAATGCTGCCTCATGGCTATTCAGAAGCTCACTTCACCACTTCCTCTTTACCGGCCATTAAGTAAAAAAGAAGTTATATCACAGAATTAGAATGATCATTGAAAAAGTGCCCATGGATCACTGAGTTACATAAAAACTATACATCTGACCTCATTAGGGAACTGGTGGAGGCAAGAAGGTAAGAAAACACAGATACTGATATATATTTTAAAATGAAAACATCAGCCTCTGACTGAATAGCAGACTACCAATGACTATGCAGGGGCAGCTAGGCAGCTAATAACATGTGAGAAACTAAAACACCATATACATATATATATACATACATACTGAAGTCACCATATGCTGGGTACTACCTTCGTCTTCTAGAGCAAATAGTTTTTCAGTTTTTAAAAGAAATTAAATTTCCTTCATTTATGTCACAGGTTTATGACTGTTCCTTTTGTATTAAATCAACCCAATGAGCATTGATTTCAATAGCACAGTTTGAGTTCATTTATTCAATGAACATCTAATCATTTATTGAGTGAATATTTATTGAGAACTCTTCTATGTGCTGAACATACAGGAATAAATGAAGTTCAAAATTCCTATACTCATAGAACTTACATTTTAGCAGAAGATGATAAAATAAACAAGTCAAACACATATGTCTGATGGTCATAAGTTATTATGAGGAAATAAAAGCAAGGAAGGGTTGGTTGCAATTTTGAGCAGGTGCTCAGGAAAGATCTTTCTGGGAAGATGACATTTCAGTTAAAGTACACCTTACATATTAGAGAAATTAACATTTGTGCTGTGACCAGGATGTTCAGAAGAAAGAACCAAGACATTATTTGGGGGAAGAGGGTCCAGGCAGAGAGAACAGAGTCTGAACAGTTTGGATGCGAATAAGTTTTTTTTTGAGATCAGAGGAGAGGAAAGTCAGAGAGAGTGATTGGAGGCTGATAAGTGCCAGGGAGAGTGGCAAGGAATGAGTTCACAGAAACAGGCAACGACCAGATTGGTAGGGCTGTTTTATTAGTTTCCCAGGGCTGCCAAAACAAATTATCACAATGTTAGTAGTTTAAAACAACAGAAATTCATAGTTCTTGAGGCCAGAAGTCTGAAATCAAGGTATCTGTAGACTCTGTTCCCTCAGAAGCCTCTGTTTTTGGTGCTGAGTTGTCCCTTAGTTTGTGGCAGCATAACTCCAATCTCTGCCTCTGTCCTCATAGGGCCTTCTTTCCTCTGTCTCTGTGTCTACCCCTTTTCTTAAAAGGATATCTGTCACTGGGCTTAGGGTTTACCCCAATCCAGGAGGATTTCGTCTTGAAATTTCCCTTAATTACATGGGCAAAGATCTTTATTCCAAAGGTCACTTTATGAGGTTCCAAGTGGGGAGATATATATATATATATATATATATATATATATATATATATATATCTCCCCTATATAACACCCATTTAGCCCATCCCTCCACCCACCTCCTCTCCAGCAACTTTCAGTCTGTTCTCTGTATTTTGAGAGTCTCTTATGATTTGCCTCCCTCTCTGTTTGTATCTTATTTTTCTTTCCCTCCCCCTATGTTCATGTTACACTATTAAAAGGTCACTCTGAGTGTTGTATGGAGCGTGGATTGTAAGTGGACAAGCATGGAAACAAGAAAAGCAATCAGTAAGAGTGAGTTCTATTCCAGTAGCCCATGGTAGAGATGCTGGTCTTAACTAGGGTTGTAGCAATGGAGAGCCAGAGGAGATAAGAAATGTGGTCAGATTAGATGTACAAGATGAAAAAAAGAGTAATGAAATATGCCTAAGTCTTTGACCTGAGCAATGTTGTGGACGATGAGTAAGACTCCAGAAGGAGGAGTTCGGTGAGGAAATCAAGAATTGTCTTTTGGACTTGTTTATATGGCCCTTTGTTATATGCTGACTTTGTTCTCACACCACTCTTCTGTATTTGAATAGTTACAATAAAGCCTTCATTTAAACAGTCACACATCCTA